GCAGCACAACTTCACATAACTTTCTCGGTATAACCTGTTTGCCAGGTCGTCACTTTCCCATCTCCAGAGAAGAATACCATCTTCAAGCTTCAACTGGTCCCATTGTGCTCAATAGTTATTTGTCACAGGGCTTAGACTAGACACCTTCTCCCAAGCAGGGCGCAAAACACTTGCTTTTAGAAAATCAATTACTGGCTTCAAATCTTGATCTTTCTCCTGCTCTGCTTTAATATCTATACCTGGTTCCACTTCACCATCGTCAACTCCTTCAGTCACTTTGACTTCAGCTTGATGACACCTGGTTAGTTCAACCTCTCTTTTAGCACTTACCGGAATTTGGCCTTTGTTGTTTCCAAAAGTCATTTTATCAAAGTTAATTACACACTTCCTCGGTAGTAAATAGTCCAATCCTAATATGCATTGGTCTTCAATGTCAGCCAAGTATACTTTCTGTCTGTTCTTCATGCCCATGAGCTCAATAGTTACCCACAATGGTCCCCACAACCTTGCATTATGTCCTATCACGCCACAGAGCTTCTGTATAGCTTCTGGTACTCCTTTGTAATTCAGCACCTTGATACTCACAAGGGTTTGCTGAGATGCAGTATCTATGACAAAGTAGCACCTTTGGCCATCCAGCTTTCTTGTCACATAGACGCTGTGTGTGTGTTTGGCATTTTACACCTAGCTGTAGGGACTTTCATAATTGGGGTTGGTGAGCGTCCCTCAACACCAACCACTACTGGTCTCCTTGAGGCTGACTTGTTGGTAATATTCTTCTTACGCTGGCTCCTCATGTGTCCTTGCTCTCCACAGTTCCAACAAACTTTCTGGGTAGCAGTCTTTCCTGCCATGGCATCTTCCCTGTGTCGAAGTTGCCAGCATTGAGCTCTCTTGTGCCCAGGTTTATTACAGTGCCAGCAAAGTCCATCAAACCTCTCTGAAAGCTGCTCTTTTCTGGCCTTGAATCCTGATGACTGTACCAACCTTGGTACCTCTGTGCTGGACTTAATGTAGCTCTGGCCATTGCATCCTGCATAGTAGAGGGGCGTGCTTGCTTTACTTGTATCTTCAGTTGTGGACTGTCCAAAGCATCTACATACTGATCCCTCAGCAACAGCTTGAGGGCATCGGGTGGTGCAGTTGAGTAGGCCTTGTGTGCCATACTTTCCAAATCCCGTCCCAGCTCTTGCAGGTTCTCCCCTTTAGCATGGACTCTCGTCCTAAACCTAGCCCTGTAGACTTCAGACTGATTTTGGGTTCCATACCCGAGTTCTAGAGCAGCTACCAGTGCTCTATAGTTGTGCCTGTCGTCTGCTGACAAATATCCAAGTATTTCCAGTGGTTGTCCCTTCAAGCTTGTTGCCAGATATACTGCTTTCTGCTCCTCTGTCCATCCATTCATTTCTGCCAGCTCAAATTGTGCTATATATGCTTCCCACTGTACTTTCCCATCGAATTCCTGTGGCTTCCTTCGTACTAGATCACCCCCTATTGCTGACATTTATATCTGGGATGTGACTTCTAACAGGACTGAAAATGTCTGAATTAGGGTTTAGCTGCGGGGTCTGGAAGGGGCTTGCTATTGTCTGGGGCTGATTAAGTCGATGGTTAATGTTTCCTCCTTGTGTAAAAGACAATAAATCATCCTTTAATGTATTTTAATTCGCTTTGAAATTTACTAATGTTCTCCATTTGTACTTCTTGCCATTGTTGTTGACTTTCCTGTAGTTGCTACTGACTTTTCTGCAACTGTTGGAGACTTTCTTCCTGTTTCCTTTCTTGTTCCAGTTGCCTCTGCTGTTATCTCTCTTCTTGTTTCTTTTATTTTTCCTCCAACCACTGCTGTAGTCTCTTTTCTTGTTTATTTTCTCGTTCTTCTTCTTTTTTTTTTGCTGTTCTTGTATTGCTGCCATCAAATCTGCTAAGTCGTAGTTTGATTTGCCACTTCTTGTTTCCATTTTTTTTTCTTTTCCGTCCCACTCTCTGACACCAATTTGTTACGTCTCTGGTCGATTGTTAATTTCCCGTAAAAATTTTTCCGAGTAACTTCAGTGATACAAATCCTTTCTTAAATAAAATACTTTATTCTTTCTCAATACAACTTTTCAATACACAGAATTTCCACAGTCACTTTTACTTAAACACACACTATAATTCACAACGGTTCACGCACTTTACTTACGGTCACTACAGCTCACTTGATTCAATTATCTGTCTCTATCTGCAGTCCTTACGATTAAATTGACTCGCTTTATCTGGTGCGCTTATATACAGGAATAGAGGGCGTCTAGCAAATACTGGATTATTGGTGATGTTCCCCAACCTTCTAGATACTCATTACGTGTTACCAGCGTCACGTAAATTCTGCTGTCGTAACAGTATATAAGCCCGGCAAATAAAGCCAGCGATAGAAGAGATATGCAGATAGATTGAAGAGATATATAATTGAGTCAAGCGAACAGTAGGCACCATAAGTAAAGTGTGTGAATCGCTGTGATTTATAGAATGTGTTATGAAGGTTGTTAAGTTTAAAGTGACTGTGGAAATTCTGTGTATTACAAAAAAGTTGTATCAAGAAAGAATAAACTAGTTTTAACTAAGAAAGGACTTGTATCGCTGAAGTTCCTCGGAAATAATTTATACCGGAAATTAACAAACGAGCAGATACATAACATTACTTTTTACAGATATACATTTTAGAATATTACAAACACTTATAATTTCAAAAAAAAAATAAGGTGATTAAGCTCCAATTTTTTTCTGAAAAAGAAATTTGTTTAATAAAATAAACATTAAAAAGAACTAGAATTACAAACAAGTTCTAAATAATAGCAAATCTAATTAATATCTAAATGTTTTCTCAAACACCAATCCTATTACCTCGTTAATTAACTCGCCTTTTGCCTGATGATGGCTAAAATATAGATGGCTGAAATATGCAGCATATCTAACTGAGCATTTTGCTCTAATAAATTATTATAATGTATTTTTATTAGTGTTTTTCTTTTTTTTTCTTCAACTGAAGATACCAAAAGTAAGAAGTATATTCAAAAGCCAATATTATGTTACATGTTCACTGTTATTCAACCTAATTTTCCATTGCCTTTTTCTTGTATAATAAAGACTTCCAAACTTTTCCTACCTCCTTCAATAATATATGTTTACCTGTGGAATGTCATCTCTTTAAAAAAACACAAACACAGTGACTTTCATTTCAATACTAGTTTATCAAATATTTTGTGAATTGATTACTTCAGCATTTCTTGATAAGATATGTCATGTCAAATATTTCAAGTCCTAGATTCTGTTAGGTACATATATTTTGGGCATAGCTATTTTTTATTCCTTTATTAATCATATAGTCATTGATCCTCTGTTGGAGTTATTTCAAAACACATCTATTTAGCTCTGACAAAAGAACTAACAACAATGAAACAACAGAAGTACAGGCATAAGAAGCTCGTAGCTTTCAAACTATGACCATTACTTCTGTACGAACAAACACTTTTATAAAACTGAAGTATACGACTGTCTGATGAAAATGTATAAATATTTTGTATAGATTAAATATATTAACCCTTTTCTTGTTTTTAGTCATTTAATGATTTTTATGGATATACTTATTTGACTACTTACCCAAGCAGGTATGAGTGAAGCATGTCCTTTTAACATCATTGAAAGAGAGTGTAGTAGAGAGTTTTAGCAGCTAAAAATACTAGGTTTACATTTTCTCTTTAGTGAACATAACTTAAACTACCATTCACACATGTTTTGAGCGTCACATGTGATGTTCATATGAAGCTTTCTTCTAACTTCATACGTTGAACCAAAACAACCAGTTCCTATTGCTACCTTCAAAAGTATCAGCTGCATATAAATGTAGCTGTACATCACATATGATACACAGAAGCTTTAGCATTATGTCCTGTGAATCACATGTGATGCACAAGACTAGGATTGGGTTAAAAGGAAACCTAAACCTCATGTCATATATAAACTACACAAAAATATATCTAATAATGCCGACTCATATATTTTATCCAAACTTTGCACTTTACTGAGTTTGTATAAACGGTTTGCTTTCATGTTGTTTTATGCTATATACGAATCACTTTTTTTTCTTGATGCTTTTAAACTTTTGTTTACATTAAGTCATCAATAATTTTGTCGACTTTTTAAGGAAATTAAAGACCTGTAGAAACTACCGATTTCTCTATAATCTTGATTTGTAGTTTCATTACTGTCTTTCAAATATCACTGAATAATATCAGTGAATAATAATACTAATATGGTTCTTACACTGGTAGTGATACACTTACGTTTTATGTACTCCACAGTCGAAGAAGGCAAATGGTCGGCTGATGAAGTCGGTGTCAGTTTCACTTGATCTAACAGCCAGACTTACTACCACGTGATCTAAAAAAAAAAAGCAGGTTTCATAAATTCGGTTTATAACTTAAAACTGCTTTTACACCCTGTTTTTGCTTGAAAAGCGCAAAAGAGCAACGATTTTGTTTTTCTCAAAGCAAGCATTGCGAATCGTGGTGTCTGTCCGAGAGTTCGTCTGTCTCCCGTTTGAAAAGCTGCGCATGCAGACAAAGCTCAACACCCAGTTTTGAAATGACGGAAGAACAAACATGAATAATATTGATGCCAAATTTTATTTCGCAAGCAGGATATTCTACACTATATTGTTGGAATGTGTTCTTCAACATAATTGACTTTGTTATCGATGGCCTTTCACGTCGCTTTTCTGCAGTCAGGGACATTTGTGGACTTTTTGATTTTTTGTCGCATTTTCAGCAGTTAGATGAGAATGAGTTGTTACAAAAAGCTAATCAGTTTCAGCTGCGATACCAATGTCATATTTCAAGTGACATTCAGAGTGAAGTGCTTCTTCTTAAAATAATTTTTGATGTGAATTTCAAACTCGATGCTGTGTTACCGAAGAAAATGTATGGTCAAATATTGAACTTGAGATTGGACAATACTTTCCCAAATGTCCTCAACGCGTTGTGCATTTTTCTGTCATTGCCAGCAACAGTGGCCTCTAATGAGAGGAGCTTCAGTGTCCTAAAACGAATTAAGTCATACTTTCGGTCCACAATGGTGCAAGAACGTTTGAATGGATTAGCAATTTTGAACATCAACATGAAAGGGCAAAGTTGCTTGATTTTTCTGGTGTAATTGATGAATTTGCCCAAAGAAAAGCACGGAAAGCATTTTTGAATGTGAAGAAGTGATCTAAAATTCCGAAAACAGAATAAACATGAATGTACTATTGTATTTACTGCTTCTTATTACAGTACTGTACTCTATTGTCTTATATACATTTTGAACAAAATTGCATTACATTTTCTTAAAATCGTTCCAGTTCTTTTATTCGTTTCTGTTACTTGTCAGTACATCATGTACACTACATGTATATACCCATACATAAATAATATGTATTTAGCACTGATTACAATAATACTTGCCCCCCAGTGGCACAGCGGTATGTCTGCGGACTTACAACGCTAGAAACCGGGTTTCGATACCCGTGGTGGGCAGAGCACAGATAGCCCTTGTGTAGCTTTGTGCATAATTAAAAAAACAAACAAAACAAAACAATACAATAATACTTAATGAGCAGTTTGAAATGGGGCCTACATTTCCCATCTGGCCTGGGCCTATTACCAGATTTGCACGGGTCTGAGTATAAGTATCTCAGAGCTTTGGCTCTAAGTGAAACCAAGAGTAGAGCACAATTAACCTTTTTCAAAGTCCATGAAATAATTCAAATTGATAGATTAGCTTAAACTTTTCCCGTCACTGGGGACGAGTACTTTTGTTTGTCAGTAATGTGACGAATGACAAAAATTGCATACATCCTTAAACTTCAATGACGTTGTGGAACCACCCATTTCGTCACTAATTACCACGATTCTGCTACTAATTGCAGTGTTGGGTAGAACACACAAAGTTCGTTTCTCGTGTTCAAGACGAAGCTTTACGATTAATATTCTCTGTTTCCATTACAGTCTTTACCATATTATCTTAAAGTTGTAAGAAATGGAAGTATAAACTACATATATTCTGATCTGATAAAATTAAAAATATTTTTGCTAACGCCGAATTGTTACTAGACAGTGGTGTAGGAAGGAGTTGCAAAGTGGGGTTGCTTGACTAGGCATGTAGATTTTACAATGAGAGATTGAAAGTATAAGGAGCTGTCAAAGGCAGCTCAATCTAGTGGGGTCTGGGGGCATGCCCTCCAGAAAATTAATATGATATTACAATTTACAGTTGCTATACAAGTCAAATATGTAAAAGTGTTGTGCTACAGAACCCCCGATTCTGACGCCTCTGCTAGATGTTGGGTGAGGGATAAAATGTTTCAGTTCAGTGAAGTAACTCCAATCCGTTACTTGTTCTCACCTGACTAATTATCACTATCATTAAATTAGTTCGATAGTCCCTAAGAGTAAGATTAATACTGTTCAAGTTTGGGCACATATTGCTTGCCCAGAACTTAAAAAAAAAATCACGTAGAAAAACTTGTACTATTATTTTGAAAAAAAAAGATAAATAAATTAATATTTTATGTTTCAGAGAAAATTTTAGTTCATTATATTTTCATACCACACTATTTAACAGTCTTGTTAAACCTCACGTAGCATAACATATGCAGTGTTATAGTGTTACATAAATTTCAGGTCACAACCGAAGTTAATGTTAAGATTGGTGCGCGTTTTCCATTAGTGTGGCTATAGGCTATTTATCGTTAACTATTTTCTGGCAGTGCATTTGCTGAAATAAGAGTGACCAGTTCATCAAAAGGAAGGCCATTCTTTAACTGAAATACTAAACTGCTAACCACAGCTGTTCAGGTAACCTAAGCCTTTTAAGCGCTGTGGATCCCTTCGACATGAGAATGTCTAATATCATGCCTTTGTTTTTATTATTTTCAATACTACCAATCTTTTGAACTACAATTTTTAAAAATCTTGAGGTACTTAAAAAAATCAAAAACAGTTCCGTTCACAATAATGTATTGAAATGAAATATGTATAAATGTAATGTCAATTTTTTACGAATAAATATGCGCAATGACGACGTAATGAAAGGACGCAGCATCTTTGATTACCATGGAATATTGAACAACTCTTTCTTTACAGCAGTCAAAATCTATACTAAGAAATTATATATAATGAGAAAAATTCAAATTAGAAACGCTTCTGTATTTTTGAACTAGAACTTAGATATTTTAGATTACAATTCTTTATATTCTAAACCAAGATTTCTTGAAGATCAATTATTCATTCAGTTATAAAATGTTTACCTGACAAGCTCTAATTATATGAACTTGATATAGAAATGGGTGCAAACGTTCAGATAATATCCGTCATTGATGATAGTGTTGTCAATTAAGGCTTAAAATACCAACTATAAAAAGAAAAAAAACGTACTTGATGCGTTCAAGATTTGACATTGCTATGAATATTCAAAACGAGCTTCAAAGTTTCTTATTGCACTGATACCATATCGTGAAATCTAGCAAGAAAGTGATTTTAATATACATCGTCTGCGCGATATTTTCATATCGGATTAAAAAAAATTGGGCATCTAGTTTGATCCAAATTAGTTCAGTAGCTCCGGGTCTCATAACAAAGATGTATTTTAATACTTAGAGCAAAAAGCATATTAAAAATAAAGACTATTACCTCTTCCTTTCGGAATAGCTGGTCGGCTGACAAAAAGTGGTGTTCGACAAGCTAGACCATCCTGAGTCACACGAGCTGGAATTGGTTTATCGTCACCAAACACACACAAGTAATGGGCGCCATATGGCAATTGGGGCAACTGGTTGATTATCAGTTGTACCTATCAAAATGCACATGCCGATATTTTACTGAAACGTTTCCACAATACTTCAAGTTGATATTTAGAAGTTTAATTCCATACTTAACACAAAACTTAAGTTATTTTATTACATATCTAAATTAATATCAGACTGATATATTTTTTTATTACAGCATCTCCTAACGTTCAACATCAGAATGACATAAGGGATAGCAACTTGGACTTCTACCGCATTTAAAATGAACACGTGCTTCTTTTAAATGTAGTATTATAGTTTAGTTAACGATAGGTAGGCAAACAACGATTTATAAGCATAATACAAGGTTTTATTGATGGTGGAACATACTACATGTTTCGACAGAACATTCGTCTGTTTTCTTCAGGTATATTAGCATTATGTACTTCCTCACTCAAATATCAAGCTTAGTTAATGGTTTCTCCATGGGTTATTCGGTCATTAAACAGTGAAAGAGAATTCTTGAAAATACGAAAACACTAATCAACTAACAAAAATTTAAAACCTATAACAAAGCATAGAGTTTCACATGTTTATATGCTATTAACACTTGGGAATTCACATGTGAAAAGTTTCACTGTGTTGTGTTTACATGCTATTAACATCCGGGAGTTCTCGGCGTGTAGAGTTTCACTGTGCTGTGTTTACATGCTATTAACATCCGGGAGTTCTCGGCGTGTAGAGTTTCACTGTGCTGTGTTTACATGCTATTAACATCTGGAAGTTCGCATGTGAAACGTTTAACTGTGTTATGTTTACACGCTCTTACATCCGGGAGTTATCGACGTGTAGTTTCACTGTGTTGTGTTTATATGCTCTTACATCCGGGAGTTATCGACGTATAGAGTTTAATTGTGTTGTGTTTATATGCTCTTACATCCGGGTGTTATCAACGTGTAAAGTTTCACTGTGTTGTGTTTATATGCTCTTACATCCAAGAGTTCTCGATGTGTATATGCGCGCGCTAGAAGATCTCGACATGGCGAGTTTTATTGTGTTGTATGTTTGCCAAAAGAAACTTAGACCCTAAGCTTGTAAAGCTGCAACACAAAACTAAACACTCTGAAAACTTTTCCACTTTTAATTTTTATATAAAAATTATACTATCACATCACCTGTTTGGTCTTTAAATTCTTCACGAAATTAAACCTTAAGAATTGTGCTAAAATATAAAATGTCAAATCCAATATAGTTCTCACTTTTGCCCTGTTTTATAGTGTCAGGTTTTAACATTTTTCAAAGTTTTTGTTTGACGTATTCAGGTCGTGTGTTTGTATGCTCTTTTTTCCTCTTTTTTTTTAACTTCCACAACGGGCTTACCATCATTGTATGATAGGCTAGCTCGATCTTGTGAGTAAAACAAGATTACCATATATGTATTTTCAATTTTAGAAGCCTTGAGGCAACTCTCAAGCTGTGGACTTTAAAGCCTTTTATATACGTCCGTGTCTAAGACCCCGCTTTACGCAGGCAGGCATCACACATTATAGAGCAGCGCTTACGCAAACGTTTTCCATCCGTTCATTTTCCGCCGTCACCGTGAATGTTGATCTGAGTCCACAAATCGAATTTCTCTGGTGTCCTATCACTGGATAACGTAATTGAGGTGGAGCTTTCATATTTTCATTTGGATCATAATCTGATTATATTACCTCCTCCCCACGCGGGTGTTGGAATTAAGAACGTGTAGCGCTGTGAGAATATATAATATAGGTGTTGAAATACATACAGAGGTACGTGTCCGCCTGAAGTTAACACTAACTTGCTTGTCAGGGCAACCAACATTTTTTCTTTCGAATATGTAAAAGTGGCATGTGAAGGAAATACCTTAACATCTTAGGTTACTTGCACTTTCCTTTTATCTTAAAAAACAATGTATAGATCACCAAGAATTGCCACTCTAGCTAACAATGTACAGATCATCAGGAATTGCCACTCTAGCTAACAATGTATAGATCATCAAGAATTGCCACTCTAGCTAACAATGTATAGATCATCAGGAATTGCCACTCTAGCTAACAATGTATAGATCATCAGGAATTGCCACTCTAGCTAACAATGTATACATCATCAAGAATTGCCACTCTAGCTAACAATGTATACATCATCAAGAATTGCCACTGTAACTAACAATGTATAGATCATCAAGAATTGCCACTCTAGCTAACAATGTATAGATCATCAGGAATTGCCACTCTAGTTAACAATGTATACATCATCAAAAATTGCCACTGTAACTAACAATGTATAGATCATCAAGAATTGCCACTCTAGCTAAAAATGTATAGATCATCAGGAATTGCCACTCTAGCTAAAAATGTATAGATCATCAGGAATTGCCACTCTAGCTAAAAATGTATAGATCATCAAGAATTGCCACTCTAGATAACAATGTATAGTAGGCATTTTCAAGACTTCAGATTAAAAAAGTTATGTAGTGAATTAATTATTATTTTAAAGTGGATTAATAAGGGAAAAACAGTAATGCAATGGATATCAGCGATGATAATAAAATTCGTTTTAGCTAGTAACGAGATAAATCTCAAACAGAAGAAAAGCCTCTTACTACGAATTCTGTACACGAAATTTCATTTGTTCTTTGTAAAGCAGTTTGGTTATAATTCAAATATACAGCTAGAGAAAAGTTTCCATCACTGAAGGTAAAAGCAGGATGTTACTGAGAGACTAATATCCATGTAAAGAAACATGTTCTTAGCATCATTAAATGTTTTGTGGATTTATTGTCTCTTTCATTCTTTGCATCACTGTTCAGTGGTTTGTAAAATTGTCGTCTCTCTCCTCCCTCTGAAGTTTGTAAAGCTGATGTCTTATTTCTATTCCATCTTTGCTCAGGTGTAATGCGATTTTACCTTTTTTTATTTTTATGTTCTCCAAGTATCTACATTGTCAATAAATTGCCTTATTTTACTTTCTAATACTTTTAATATTTTTAAATTTGTTTTGAAAATACCTTCAGAAATTTACATAAGATTTGGTAGGTTATGAAACACACAATTTACTATGATTATTACTTAAATGATTAAAATACAGAAGTGTGTTGCTAGAAATTAAAAGTGCATAACAATATTTATGTACGTCATCAGAATTCTGCAACAAAAGGGGATGTCTAAATGTTTTTATCTGTGATAAGAGAAGTACCATCAATGTACACTGATAAAAACATTTAGACATCCCCTTTTGTCGCATACCGCAATATATAACTCACACTTTTGGTCCTTTTTTGTATAATTTACTTATAGTTTATAACCTAAAATAAACTAGAAAAACTAAACTCTCAGTGTTTGCATTAAGTTGAAAATATCTATGCCGTCTTTACGTATGTCTTTTAACTAATTTAGCTGCGTTCTCGTTATAGTGTGAACAAACGTTTTCTTACTTCCAATATTATAATTTTTTAAAGTTATTTAATTATCTAGTTAATTCCAATTTAGTACAAGAATATTACTTTATCAAATATCCAACAGATGTCACCGCATGCAGAATAAAATGTTTAGTAAAGACATAGTAGATATTGTTCTCCATATAAATAAATATTCAGACGATAATGTTGTTACAAACATTTTCATACGCCTCAAATCAATATCCTTTGAAAAACGTGACAGCTCTTGTCATCATATCATATACGAACTGGCTAAGCCTCAACAAAGCACACAAAGTTCTTAATATTTTGTTTCTATCCTGCTTTGTAATTCCATGAAACAACTCTTAACTTACCAGATGACATGCATTACGTAAAACGTATTGGTTTTGCATGTTTTTAATTCTTTATATTGCAAAGATACTTCTCACATATCTCTCCTTGTTAGTCAACATTACGCTAACTAGTAAAATATTTCCATAAAATTGTTTTTGCAGAGATATCGTTTGTAATATTTATTGAAATACTTATTAAAATCAGGTATTGAAGCTGACATAGATCTTCAAAAAAAAAGCAATATATTAATATGTTGTTCGACTGATAATGAACACTGAATTATTTATACATAAAACTTACCACCGACGAACTGATGTGAGGAATTTGATTCGGTCGAACAGACTGGAAGTCAATACATTGTTGCGTTTCAAGTGATAACCACCTGGGGGAGCTACGTTCTGTATATGACCACGTAGCATTCTGGCATGCCGATTTAATAGTGCACCTAACAAGATGGATTTAAAGATTAGATATTTACACAGGTAGAAGGGCCAATAGTGGACAGACATTAGATTAGAAAAAAATATTTTCACACACACACACCTGTATATATTCAACCATTTTCATACAAAGAAACCGATACTCTAATGTAACATTTTATGAACAGAACACAAAACAATAGCTTAAAATAACAATCAACAATGCACAACTTTTATGAAAGCTCAGTAATTGTATCATAATTATGGATTACAAAAAAAAAGAGTTGAATAGATAGAAAAAACTTGTTTGTATAAATACTAATACTTAATGAGATTTTGTATCTCTGCAACTTCTTTCCTATTTGATTGCTCTACAAGGACAATATTTCTCTTTTTTCTTTCTTGATTTGTTTAAGATTTTTGCGCAAAACCATACAAAGGTTACCAGCGCATAGCCTTCCATAATTTTAAACTGATAAGATTGAAGGTAACTAATCAACAGTACCCACCGCCAACTTTTTGGCTACTCTTGTCTGACTGAATAGTAGAATTTGATCGTTACTCTTATAACGCATTCACAGCTCCCAAAGGACAGGAACAATGATTCCTCGGATTCACAGTCCGGGCACGCTAACATTAAGCCGAGACTGGTCCTTAGTATTCCACATTGTCTGTGAAGGCAGATTGGTCTGGTGGTTAGTGTTGTGGACTTGCAGTTGGAAGGTTGTAAGTTCAAGGCTCGCTCGCGACATATTGTTGTACTTTTGAGCAAGAAATTTTACCTCAAATGTTTCAGTCTATCCAGATGTATAATGGGTATCACCGGTTAGCTGTTTATTAACCTGCAATGGATTGGCATCCCACTCAGAAAAAGCGTGTCATCATTCTTACCTGCTTGTGCTACAGGAAATTGGATTTAAGCACGAGCTTCATGTAACTTTCATACACAAAAAAGGATTAACTTACATGCTTTGTGATTGTTTTAAAGTTATGGAATAATATAAGAATAAGCTTAAAGGGGGTCCTAGACTGAAAAACTGAGAAGTCCTCTGATTTAATACGCATTATATAACTTGCAAGTTGAGATGCTGTACGCTACGCCTACACAGCGTGGTCACAAGTAAATAGACACCACCTTTTCAGAAAAAAATT